AGCATCCATAGTATATAAAGAACAGTGATCTACTTATTTATGAGCAACTGAAAGGCCTTAGGCCTATTACAGCCGTATCCTATTGATTGATTGACGGTTGAAATTCAGACACTGTGTTGACAGTTTACATGCAGTGTACTCAAGAGAGTATACACATTGAGACACAGCACTACGGTCACCAAAGGGAAACAGAAAGACAATGAAGGATTGTTGCTCCTTGACTGCTTAGTTTGGAAACAAACAACTACAGCTATCATGAGTTGTTATTGAATAAGTTGTTTCTACTGCCCCCACATGGCATAACATGTTCTTGCAGTTGTATCTCCTGCTACTAACGTTTGTGTTCTCCATGTCTTTGCTGTTTTCTCTCGTAGTGTGTCAGATCTTACCAAAGGGCGTGGTTTCAGTGATTGGTCCCGCCGCTAGCCCTGCCTCCGGATCCACCATCAGTCACATTTGTGGGGAGAAGGAGGTGAGAAACATGCTTCTGCTTGGAATTAAAATATGCTCTGTATCAGAGTGAAGTCCAGTTGAGAAAACTAGTAATAAGTGTGGGATCTGCTGTAATCATTGAGCAGCAGATCACACCTCATTCATCACTGTCTAATTTTAAATGTATCAATGAACTTAAATACAGACAGTCGGCCTAAGATCTTTGCCCTGTGGAGTTTCAATTGAAACAGAGCTGTTAAACTGTCAGTGTGAAAAAACTCTTAGTAGCTACCTACAGAATAATTTGTCTCTCACCACAAAAATATCATTCAAATATAAACTTATATTTGATATATTTATATGTTACGTTGCTTAATAAGCACACATAAGAACCCTATGTTTTTAATTCCTGTCTGTCTTCTTCTGCTTTTCCATTTAGTGTTTACCTCCTGTCTGTATTCTTCTGCTGCTCCTGTTAGTGTTTACTTCCTGTCTGTCTTCCTCTGCTGTTCCCTTAAGTGTGTACTTTCTGTCTGTCTTCTTCGGGGTTGCAGTCGAATTGTCCAAAACTCAGCTCCTAACCACTATTCCTTGACCTCTGTGTGAAACATCACACATCACCACTCAAACATGTTTAAAACGTTTCCCAAACCCCCCACAGCTCAGTGAAGCGCTATGAAATGTTGACTTTATTTGATCATTTCAGTAAAAAACTAACGTTCATATTTCTCCTTTTGATTATTATATGTTTAATGTTCAGAACAAAGAACTTTGGCAAGTTACAGTACAAGTTGTAAATAGCTTAATAAGCACCGTAACTTTCATGATACGCATTTCTCGGTCACGATCGGTTGTTTCCGTGAACGGCCGAACGTTGTTTCACAGTAAATGTTGCAACCACAAGGTATTGTGGGACATCATTTTCTCCTTTCCTTTCGTAAAGGAAAGTCCAGTGGTTCCTAAGCTAAAGGAGGTTATAAAGGAAGTTTCAAACCTCCTTTCCATCATCTAGATTCTAGAGAATCTGAACAGCTCCTATTGTGGCTGCCACTGAGGTACTTCCGGGTCATTTCACTCCGTTAAAAGCCATCACAGATCCAACTGGTGGAAAATGTAAACCATTGAAACTTGTTTCAACACAATTCACCATACGGATGTTATGAGTGGAAAACACCTTCACTACGTCATCATGGGGATTTTCTCTGGACAGATGACCTGGATAGGAACCAGAATGGATCCCCCACAGACCAGGGCCCTAGGGGGGGGGATTTATAAGTGGCTGGATCTGTACGGATGAGTGCGATTTCACATACAGTAATAGTATAAGGTTTATGAAAAATCTTAAAGCTTGCGGTGACCCTGTCAACTTTTATCTTTAGTTCCACCATGAGACCAAAAAAGTTATCTTTAAAACAAGTATCTGATAATCTGCTCAAATTCTTGTGAGCCAGAGGATTAATCCTTTCACTTAGAAATTCCCTGAGCTTCCATTTTCCATTTAAAGCATGTTGGAATTGTTACATATTAATTATATATTTCTAAAAAAGAATCCAATACTCCCTTTGATATGAATGTTTCATCTTAGTGGAGGTGAACAGAACTCTGTGATAACAAAATGTAACACTTTTCTAAGATCTCTGATGATCTGAGCTCTTCTCTCTTTTCAGATATTCTTTTTGAAAGCTGAACAAAGACTTGATTATCAGCGACAGTGTCAACGTCTGATTAAAGCTTTGATTCCTGTTATCTGAACTCTCTGTAAAGCCTGTAAGGTTTGATGTTCATAAAAAAACCACATTTGTTCTCTTGATGTCATCACCTCATCATTTCCCCTTTCTCGTTTTCAATGTTTTCTCCCATTTCATGTCCTTCTCTTTGATTTTGTTCCCTTTCTTTGACTGTTCTTCCCATTTCATTATTTTCCCTCGCAATCTATCATTTGGATCTCACATGAAGATTATCCAAAGAAAACCCTCAAGCTGACAACGTTTGTTTACGTAATAATTCCTCTTCCTCCCCCTCCGAACCTTTTAGATCCCTCACGTAAAGATCGGTCCGGAGGAAAACCCAAAGCTGCCGTACCTTCGCTTCGCCTCTGTGACTCTGTACCCGAGTAACGAGGACCTGAGCCTGGCCATTGGGTCCATGCTGCGCTCCTTCGGATATCCCACCACCAGCCTTGTGTGTGCCAAGGCAGAGTGTGAGTCTGTCTATGAAGTGTGTTCATGTCTGTGTGTGTGTGTGTGTGTGTGTGTGTGTGTGTGTGTGTGTGTGTGTGTGTGTGTGTGTGTGTGTGTGTGTGTGTGTGTGTGTGTGTGTGTGTGTGTGTGTGTGTGTGTGTGTGTGTTTGGTTGTGCCTGTGTTTGAGAGAGAGTGTGTGTGTGTGTGTGTGTGTGTGTGTGTGTGTGTGTGTGTGTGTGTGTGTGTGTGTGTGTGTGTGTGTGTGTGTGTGTGTGTGTGTGTGTGTGTGTGTGTGTGTGTGTGTGTGTGTGTGTGTGTGTGTGAGTGTGAGTGTGAGTGTGTGTGTGTGTGTGTGTGTGTGTGAGGGATCGTCGGAGCTATGTGCAACTCAAGGCATATGCTCGAACGGGAGCTGCCTGGACGCTGCAATCATGTTGCGCGCACTACCCGTGCTGAGTGTGCTGACTTTTCGTACAATGTCCCGCTGTCTGGCTACCTGCATAAAGTCAAGTGCTCGGCGCAGTTGTCGGCGAAATGTCACTCCTCTGTTTTCATTTAAACAGCTCCTTATATCCGTTAGCGCAGCTAGCTAGCACCAGATGCTAACAACAACAATACACATAAGGTCTCTCTCTCGCTTGCTCGCGCCACACATACACACACCCTCCCGGTCCTCCC